GACCTTAGACTTCTCTTCAACAGGAGGTTTAACCGCATATTTGCGGGATTTCTTCAGAAGGTTTTTAAGACCCTTTGGAGTCTTTATCTTCGCAGGTGGGACCTCAAGTCTTTCTTCTTCTGGAGGTTCATGTGGTGCAGAGGATTCTGCAGGTTTGTCCCTAGAGCCTGATGATGGTTCCGATGGTCCGGAAGGCTCAGGAGCATCACCAGATGATTCTGGTGGGTCAAGTTTCTTGGCAGATGATTCTGCCGGATCAGATGGAAGAGGCTTCTTTTTGCCTGAAATCCTCTTCGGTGGTGGATCAGCTGCTCCCTCAGGTGCTTTGTCGCAGCCCTTGAGGTACGTGTGAGCCTTTTTCTGTCCGGCACAGGCTGGACAGCGACCTTCCGGTATCCTAATATAGGGCTTCTTGGCTCCTAGAGCAGTCTCCGTCGCACTGAACGACGTACCTGACTTAGGGAGATACTTCCTGGTGGAAGTGAAGCCTAGAAGGTCCAATACCAAATGGTTATTGGTACTAATCGGAAGAGGGGTTTTATACAAACCGAAAGCTTCACACGTTGCTAGGTCAGCTGTGGGACTACACTCGAGGGTCATTCTTAAATTCCTCATCTGTTCGATGGAAAACAAAATGGGGACTCTCCCCTGATCCAAAACTTCTATGGTTGTATCTCTTCTTGGAGTTGTGTTGAACCATAGAGTTACACGCTCCTTGATAAGAGCTGTTTCACTATCTGCGAAAGAGAACTTCGTGTTCGAAGGTGAAAAAGTGAAATCAATCATGCCTGGGGCACGTTGCTTCACGGCCTTGATAAGCCTGTTCACCGCATAGCGGGAACCCATAGCCCTAGTACAACCTGAGTCAAGTATGACAAAGGTAGGGCTCTTATCAAGATTGATCCGCTCTGTGAGAGCAGATAGGACGGTGTGCTGCAACGGAAACACTGCTGTTGCAGTCTCCACACCTTGCCCCTCGGATGGTTCAGAGACCTGGGGCACGTAACTCACTGATGAGTTGTACACGGGTTCTTGGTGCGCGCTCGGATCTGTGCCTCTACCTGATGATCCTGCTTGATTTCTTCTCTTCTTTCTCCGTGTCTTTCTTCGTGAGGCTTGTGATGCATAGTATGTATAAGACGTTTGATCGTCATAAGCGGCATAATTCCAACTGGAGTCAGTATAATAACTGTCCTCATACCATGAATCCCAGCTCGGTGCGGTGGAACTTTCATAGGCCTGTGGAGATCCAGTTTGGTCTCCTTGTAAGGAGGCAGACTTAGCTGTATCCTTACCTTTGCCTTTTGCCTTTGTACCCTTGAAGGAGCTTCCTTTATCTCCTTTGTCCTTTCCTTTTCCTTTGCCTTTTCCACCTTTTCCTTTTTCTTTTCCTTTACCTTTACCGAAATAGCTGGAATCAGTTGGATCATGTTCTGCCTGGTTGGCTCTCCCTTTTCCGCGGTATGACCTAAAACGGCCACGTCCTTTTCGCTTGCCACCCTTTGCTCTTCCCGGTGATCCGGGACGCATTCTTGGTCTTCTTCCCTTTTTGAATCTCCTTGCAACGAAGGCTTCATGGTCGTCAACTGTCCAGAAGACAGCTTCTTCATCCTCGGCGGCAAGAAAGCCTTCCTCAAGGGTGTCTTCGTCTTGGAGCCAGAATCCATCGACTCCGTCGTATTCACCCTGATCGAGGATGAGGAAGTTTCGACCTCCGCGTTTGCGGCGTTGATCTCTCCTTCCATGGCGGTCCTTCTTGTGAGAAGAGTGCCGAATGTTGGGATCCTGCAGACCAGTTCTGGTCGTTGAGAACTGATCGAACATGGTCTGCCGTACCACAGGGTACGTGTAGGTCTCAATTCGGTGACCTTGGTTGGTCAATGCTGTTACCAACCTCTCACGTTGCATCTCATTCAGGTCGGACTGCACTAGGAAGAGGAGAGCTAGGAGATTATCATTTAGAGGAAACGCTCTTCGATGATTATCAAGGCGTTCCTTGTTCCATGTTTCGAAGAAACGTGCGGCGTATGTGTCTCTCTCGGTTGCATCCTGTAGGCGCAAGAAGGTTTGATCTGCCTGCACAGCCTGCATGAAATCTGGATGGGCATCTTCCAGAGCTATCTCTGGTAAGAGATCCATCCATGAGTTTTTCACGCGCTGTAGCACGATCTCAAACTTAGCAATCCAAGTCACAAAGTCTTGGTTGCCCTTCCATGCCTTGAATAGGCCGAGGAAACGCCACAGGAAAACGTACTGTTCTCCTTTCACGAAAAATGGACGCATCTTCTTCTTGAAGTAATCTACTCCATCTGGGGCTGCAAGCCTTTCTCGGTTAAGTGATTCTTTTTGTACTGCGGCCAATCCGGAGAGCCTCGTCTTGAGAGACGGACCTCTTTTGGTGTCATCCAGCGTTGTTATGTCGCACCAGTCGTCAATCAACTGTTCATACTCAAACCACGAGGTGGTGCCATCATAGGCAGGCGCGATCTTGGGCGTTATGCCTAATGATGCAAGCATGCGGTCAGATGTTGCATATGACTGTGCGACATAAGTAGCTGGACCTTGGGAGGTCTCTTCGTTCTCATATCCCCCGGAGGATTGGGAACTGCCGTCGGCTTCGCTATGCGAGCTCGACATTGTGCTGCCTCTTATCCGCTTGGTTAAGCGTTCGGCGAGGCCGACCGCTGTAGCGGACTTTGTGAGGCGGGCGGCCCTTTCCGGGCTCCGCTACCAGAAAACTGTGCCGATACACCCCCAAGGGATACTCCTTGTGAGGAGGTGTATGACCAGTTATTCCCTAAGGATCAAAGGGCAGCGCCCTGCACACGGACAGTAGTTGTTTTGTCTTGCTACGCAAGGAGAGCTTGTCTTGTCTCAATATGGTAAAACCACTGTGAGCCAATGGGCAGCGGAATGTATATGTATGAGCATGCAGCCATTGCTGTAGGTACCTGTTAGAGCTACCCCTTTAGAGGTTTATGGTTTCACCCCCCCCCTCCCCCCCGCCGCTTATTTTAGACTGCAAGCGTACTTCACCCAAAACCCCCCTTCTTTCATGAATGATGTGGAAACTCTGCAAATGGGGGGGGCTGCGCCCCCCCCCCCAACCCCCCGCTGTTTTTAGACTGCAAACTTCCTGCTCTCTTAAGCCGCGTTTTCTCCAACACACACAAACGAAGAAAAACAGACGAAAACGCTTCAGGGGTGTTAAAGACGAAGAAAAGAGCATTATGATCATGAGTGATTTGGAAGGTGATTTGGAGGACTAGGTACTTCACCCAACCCCAGTGATTTGGAGGACTACTTACTTCACCCAACCCCCTCTCTCATGCTTCGCCCAAACCCAAAACTACAAGGCCTCCCTATCATATTTCACCCATGAGCCCCTCGCCACCCCCCCCGAATAGTACCACTAGTCGCCGGGAAAAGTCTTCTCCAAGACACACAAAGGAGAAAGCCACACGAAAACGCATCGGGGGGTTAAAAGCGAAAATAATATTCATGTTGGGTGGTTCGGAAGCTTTGCAAATGGAGGGGGAGGGGGGGGATGCGCTTTTAGACAGCACACTCCCCGTTTGTTTAAGCCGCGAAGAAATGAACCAAAACGTCCTTGGGCGTGCTTGAGATATACTAGAATCGCCAAAAGAGAAGGCGTGTGTAAGATGTAAAATTAACCGAAAGCGCCAAATGAGTAAGCGTAATACGACAATACGATGACCCGGAAAAGCTAAATGAGGGGTGTGCTTAAGATCGCCAACTCAAGGGGTGCGTTTAAGTTACACGGTGTGCTGGAATCGCCCAATGGGAGCGTAATTAAGATATGTGGTGAGGGGCTATGATGACCGGAATCGCAAAATGAGGGCGAAGTGAACCGGAATCGCCAACAAAGAAGGCGTGTTTGTTCAAGATACTTAATTGAGGTTGCGAACAACACCCATATACGTGACCGCATGTCGAGCGCTTCAAACTCTGAAACTTTTCAAACTCGAACTTTCAAACTGTCAAACTCTCGAACTTTCAAGCTCGAAACTCAGCGGACTTTCAAACTTTGCATCTCGACGCGCTTCAAACCTTCAAACTTTGCAAACTTTCAATCTTTCGAACTCTCAAACTCGCGAACTTTCATCCCTTTCAAACTTTCGATCTCTGAAACTTTCAAACCTTCGAACATGAAACCTTTCGAAGTTTGAAACCTTCGAACTTTCAAACTCGTCACCTCAGCCCAAGCCGAAGAGGAAATCTGAAGCCAACCTTTCAAACTCCGAACTTTCGAACTTTCAAACTTTCGAACTTTGAAACTTTCGAGCTTTCAAACTTTCGAACGTTCGAACTTTCAAAGTTTGAAACCGTCGAACCTTCGAATTTGCAAACTTTCAAAGTCTCGAACTCTCAAACTTCGAAGGCCGATCGAACTCGCCCGCGGGAAAAGTTTGAAGTTTGAGTTTCAAGCAGCCAGTCGAGCTTGAAAGTTCGAGAGTTTGAAAGCTTGAAAGTTTGAAAGTTTCGAGTTCGAAAAGTTCGAAGTTTGACCGCGGCTAGCTTGTGCACACCAAGGTGCACAAACTTTCGAACTCCAGCACTTTTCGAACCTTCAAACCTTCAAAGCTTGAAACTTTCAAACTTCAACCTCCAAACTCTCAAACTTTCAAACCTTCGAGTTCGAACGACCTCGCTCGCGACACCATTCATGTATATGTATATGTGTATGTGTATATATATATAATATGTAAGATTCCTCACGACTAACAATTAAGGAAAATATCTTGTCATAATATCAATTTATAATAAGCCCTCTATAGTTTAAGGTATACTCTGTTTTTGCTATCCGGCGAACACCACTCAGAACTTGCTCTTTGAGCTTGCAGTGCCTTTAGGACTCGTGGGCCTAGGGTATTCAAAGTAGGAAAAGCAGTGACCTCATGATGCAAAATATTCAGGCGGCTTTTGACGGTGAGATTGCATCCTGAACCCTCTACCTTAAGCAGCTTCAGGGAGCGAACCTCCTGTAGCAGCTCTACTCGTCGCCAAAGGTCTGCATGAGGCAGTCTGAATGCCTGAGCCCCCGGCAAAAATTGAAAACAAACGGGAGATGAAAGGTTTTGGGTGAAAAGTGTTAGCAACAATTCATAATTACGGAGGTAAGTAGGAGTGCGACTTGGTGCTTCGATCATCGTCGGCATTGCTGTCATTGATAAACTTTCGCCACTACAATGAACAGCCTCTCTATAGCCCTTCTTGCAACTAGGTTGCCCTCGTAGCTATACCCTGAAACCTGGCCTCCAAACCCTAAATGGCCTCGAACCCTTATGGTATTGGCAGCGTTTATCAGACACTGTTTCTGTGACAGCAAAACTGGGCATAGAATACTAAGGCCCCACTGGAACGCAAAGCTTGCTCAGCAAGGGAAGTTCAAAGAAATATCAAAAAAAGAAGCAGTAAATCTAACGCACGATTCCTTTACATGCCCAAAACTTAGAGAATCCCCGATGCCCCTGGAACATGCCTTAACATGCAGGGGGCTTGTTATGATGCAAGCACGATGCGCTCCTTATATTTAATGGCTAGTTATGCTTAGGAAGTTTTGGGCCCTCTTGATCCTAAACCCACAACCCCCCTAAACCCAAAGCCAACTAAAACCCTAAACCACCCCCCCCCCCCCCCCCCCCCCCCCCAAAAAAAAAAAAACAAAAGAAACTGCTCCTTTTTCTCCCTGTCTTCCAGCCCCAGAGCTTCGAGCAAGCTGAGGGCTAAGTCGGCACGGCCGTCCCGGAGAAGGGCCTTGGCGACGACCTGAGGAGGCTTCCAGTTCCCGAAAGGCTTTCCGAAAAGGAGCCCTTAAAGGAAGCCTTAAAGGAGTTTAGGGTTTAGGGCTTAGGAGAAGGAGCCCTTAAAGGAAGCCTTAAAGGAGTTTAGGGTTTAGAGCTTAGGAAAGGGGAGCCCTTAAAGGACACCTTAAAAGAGTTTAGGGTTTAGAACTTAGGAAAAGGAACCCTTAACGGACAATAGCTTTCAGAGATCCTGAAAGGGGCATCAGGGTTTGGGCATGAAGTCAGGCTTCTGATGTTGGGGTTTGGGGCTCCTTAAGGGATATCAGGCTTGTGGGGGATGAATCGAGGTTCGTGCGTCGGGTTTCGGACTCCTTGAAGGATATTTATTGTCTACGGCCCCCACTCAGTCATAGTTGAATAATATTTTTAAAATACAGACATATTAGGACCTTAATAGTAGCCCTATTTAAGACTCTGTCTTACTGTATGGGGGCCGTACCTAAGATATTTAGTGTTTGTTGGGGTTTAGGGGTCCAGGGGAGTTCCGGCCTCCGACCCGCAGAGTCCTAACAACCCACAACCTTTACCAAAACCGCTATAAACCTCAAAGCCCTAAAACCCTAAACTAAGCCCCAGAAAACACCAGAAAACCCTAAACCCCTAAACCTTAAACCCCCCAAAAAGAAGCCCTAAACCCTACATCCCGGAACCGACAGAAACTCATTTATTCAAGAACCCTAAGCCCTCGAAGCCGGGATCCCCAGTAAACCCTAAACACCAGAAAACCCTCAAACCCTAAAGCCCAAAAACCCTAAAGCCCAAAAACCCTAAACCCTAAACCCCTAAACCCTAAAAAACCTTCAACCCTAAAGCCCAAAATCCTGAACCCTAAACCCAAAACCCGTAAACCCTAAACCCCTAAACCTTAAACCCTCAACTTCTAAAACTCCTCTTCGAGCGACTCTGCAGGTCCGCAGCGAGGGCTCCGGCACCGTTTGCAGGCTCTCCAAAGCCTCGAAGCCACGGTGGAAACCCCCGGGGGTTTTGGTGCTACTGCAAGGGTACCCAGAGACTCCAATATCCCTTAATTAAGGGATATACCTCAAATCATAGTGGGAAGCCTAAAATGATTTAAGGTATATTCCTTATTTAAGGGATATTGATAATGGAGACCCTGGGTAAATTAGGGGTCCAAATAATTACAGACACTGTATTTTGGGTGGTCCCTTTTTCTAAATATAGCAATATACCCCAAAACTCTATTCTAATTATTAAAGACGCTATATTCAACACCTTTTGGGTTGGAGGGTTCTTGGAGCGTTTTGGGCTTTATGATTGCTTCGAAGGGTTCCTGTAAAACTGCCAGTCTGAATTAAATCCGTGAATCCCCATGTGTGCAGAAAACGCAACGCTGCTTCTGCTGCTTTCCACGAGAAACAATGGTAACAGCGAATTCACCACCATCTGCACCCATTTCGAACCCGGGATCTACGCGAGCGCCACAATGCCCGTAATCTTCACAAATGAGATCTTCTGAATAATGGGTTCTATCAGGGTCCATTACAACATTTCTCAATACCTACTGTAATACTTTGGGAAGAAACAGGGAGACAGAGACGCTTTAGACCCCAAACCAAAACGAAGCACCCACGACCAATCCTTAATTTTCAGGGTTTGCAATATTAAACAAGACCGGACATATATAAATCAGGAGCTTGAACACGGAGACAGAGAGAGATAGAGAGTTTGCTTACTTTGGCTCAACACGATGCTGGCACAACAAAGGCCCCGAGTCGTCACTATACAGCGGATGTCGCTATAACATGTGTCGTCGCCATTTATGGTAATTATAAACCCTAAGCCCGAATACCTGAGCACCAAACCCACAATTGAACCACTCGAAAGAGTCCCAGCCTCCATGGCACGACCTTCAGCTGCCAGCCTGCAACACATAATTTAGGAGCCTGAACATTTTAGTGGGCTTCAAGGCTTGTGGAGTATTAGGGGGGAGGTTTACGGGCCTGACTACACAAGGTCTTCAGGTCTAGTTTGCCCCGGTGTCAACGCCGATGTATTGAAATAACATACCATGCACCTGAAACGACAAATCCTGAACCCCAAAATCAAGACCATAAAACGCGACCCTAGTGTACCCTGAATCCTGCCGAAGAACTACAGACAGAAGCCCAACACACAGAGGTGTGCGGGCGGTTCAGAAGATAAAGACCCAACCCAGCAGGATCCGGATTACGAGGGCCCCCCCCCACCAAAAGCCGAGGCACCTCCAACCGCTCACTATACAAATTGTTACCCTAAGGGTCTATGTACTCATATAGTATATACATTGGCCTGAATGTAGTCCCTATATAGGTACTTTGGGACCCATGTATCTCTATATGGATACATGGACCCTTAGCGTCAGTTCTGACCAAACCTTCTCCCCGCCTTAACCGAGCCTTCTAACATGCTCATGACCTGACAAGTACATGCACAAGTATGAAGCCCATCAGGCACATGACATAAAGACCTTTCAGTACCCCCGCCAAACAAAACTTGCAACACTTCACGGATAGGGTTTAGGGTTTAGAGATTTAGGGTTTAGGGATTTAGGGTGTAGGGATTTAGGGTTTAGGGGTTTATGGGGTTTAGGGTTTACCACAAATTCTCAACCCTGAGATGGCCGGCCTCATGGTGGTGGCTTCCGCGCGGTCCTCATCCTCATCGGGGTGGGGGAGGAGGGCTGGGGGGGTTGGTTGTTGTTTATGCCCCTAATACCCTGAACCCTAAACCCTAATCCCTAAGCCAGGGGGGTCCCTCTAAACTAGTTTATCATGCCTTTGGATGGGTTTTGGCTAGGGTTTATATGTTGATCTACGGATCCAGGATGATCCAGGTTCAGGGCGGGAGCTGAGGAGTAATTATTGAAAAACACAAAGCCCGAGGACGCCGTACAATCTTGAAGGTTTGTGCATAGCCAAGCTTGAAATTTAAATCAGTTGGCAAAACTCTGCGAGATGCTTTCCAACCCCATGAACCTCTGTATGACCCTACCTATACTGAACTTAGAACCCTAGCAACAATTATGACTTTAGCTGTTTCTTAGGGATTATAATAACCAAAAAATTAAAAAAATATTTCTAAGTACCCCTAAGCTACGACCCGCCCTTCGCACCTCTTGACTCTCCGTCTGCGGCGGCACCACTGCCGCACCCGAACTGTTGCAGAACTTACTGTTGGTTAGTAGGGAATGGAAGAATGGTAGTAATAGTAGTTATAATTGTACCCCATTCCTCCATTCCCTACTAACCAACGGCAAGAGAAAAGGCTTCTAGGGGCTTACAGTACAGCAGGAGTCAACGAGGCTTGCGGTTGCGGTTTGTGGTCTACAAAGCTTGCCTGCAACCTCGAGTCTGCATCTTGTGGTTAGGCACGAAAACCTGGTTGAAGAGCACGGGCAGGCATTTGAAGGCTAAGTCGGCTAAGTTTTGAAGAGGTTCGGTTCTATGGTATACGGTTGGGGCTTAGGGTTTAGGGTTTGGGATGTCGGTGTAGCTGATTGGTGGAGCAAGCCCCTAGCTGTCAGAGCCGAACCTTCGCGCAAAGGAAGTCCTCCACTTCTCCACTCACCCTAGGGTAATCGGTTTTAGGATGGTAGTTATGTAGGTTACCATGTATTTTGGAGAGTATATGGGTAGTTGTCAAAATAATGGTCCCTTTTTGGGGTCCCTATTATAATACGGCACCTAATATTTAGGGTACCCCAAGAAGGGCCAACATTTTGACAACTGCCCATATGATAATTAGGTACTTGGACCCTCCGGGTCAGACTCCGGGATGGATCTTCAGGGCTTCACCGCAGATATTTGGAGGATCATGGGAACCTGGGGTTTCTTTAAGTTACGATAACTTCAGCTTCAATGACTGCCAAGACCATGCCGAAGGCAATTTCTGTTCTACTGGTTGTTTTCTCTTGTCGTTTTTGGGAAACGCCAATGGTGCGGCCTGACCTTCACCGCATATACCCCCTATTCTGTTCTGTCCCATCCTCTCTCCTATGGGCTCCTCTACTACACCCTCCTTTCCCATCCTTTGCCATTCCATCCCATCCTAATCTCTCCATCAGGTCATAGCATATCATGGCATTATCGCTATTGTCTTTGTCATCATTATCACCGTTGTCGGTATCATCACCATCATCACCTTCTTCTTCTTCTTCATTATCATAACCATCAGCATGTTGATGACGATGATGATGATGATGATCATCATCATCATCATTGTTATCG